CACGTAAAATTACAGGATATTCGCCAGTTCCAATCAAAAGTGTCCAAGATATAGGGTATTGTGGTCACGTAAAATTACAGGATATTCGCCAGTTCCAATCAAAAGTGTCCAAGATATAGGGTATTGTGGTCACGTAAAATTACAGGATATTCGCCAGTTCCAATCAAAAGTGTCCAAGATATAGGGTATTGTGGTCACGTAAAATTACAGGATATTCGCCAGTTCCAATCAAAAGTGTCCAAGATATAGGGTATTGTGGTCACGTAAAATTACAGGATATTCGCCAGTTCCAATCAAAAGTGTCCAAGATATAGGGTATTGTGGTCACGTAAAATTACAGGATATTCGCCAGTTCCAATCAAAAGTGTCCAAGATATAGGGTATTGTGGTCACGTAAAATTACAGGATATTCGCCAGTTCCAATCAAAAGTGTCCAAGATATAGGGTATTGTGGTCACGTAAAATTACAGGATATTCGCCAGTTCCAATTAAAAGTGTCCAACATAAAGGGGTTTTACTATGGTTAGTAAAAGGCATCAGTAGTTTTATTCAACATGTGTTGTGTCTTGTTTTATATTTCTGCATTCTTATAGGGCAAGTATTTATATGTTGATACGTATTTATGGCCATTTATAGTTTCACATACCCGTGCAGTGCTTACCTCAGTCGAAGACTGTCACTGGTCAGAGTATCGTAAGTCGGCCAGTCTTCAGTACAAGCTTGACAACTGCATTTGAACCAGTAACGGGAACACAGAGTTCTCTGCCGGAAATCCAAGGGTCGCTTGGTGAAGATTGGCCCATAATTCTCTGAGACACAGTCTCCAGTGTCCAATGGACGTATCGCTCGCAGTACGATGTATTTGCTCACGAAATACCTGTTTAGGAAACCACACGTAACACGACATGAAACTCGAAAGTACAGGGTGTTTCAAGATTCTAGATGCAGCGTCTCTCATAAAGGGAACAGTAATGTCGTTCTGTTTCACTGTTAATTGATATCTGAGTATAATTTACGTGAAATTGTGGTAAGAAGGGATTTTAAGTGTGTTCATTTAGAAGAAAGTTGTCAGTGGAACCACGGTTCCGGAGAATTTGACGTAAATACGTCTATACGGAAAGGAAGTTTATATATTGGCTTTATTCTAAATATTTCCTTTATACGTGCTTTACATTTGAGATAAGACACTTTTACAGCATTCGTAAGCAGAAAAGATTTTGTGTCCAATAAAGACTGGGTTTTAACTCCAAGAAATCCCATTTAAATGCAGACAATATAAATACCAGCATTCGTATATTTGTTGAGGCTTGACATTTTTAAGTACTCACTCACCTCGCAAGTGCAGGGTGACAGTCGTGGTTGAACATGGCCACTGTAGGGTATATTCCAACTCCCACGTAAAGAGTTTTGGAACCTCGGAATTTGTTTGGAGCTTCCATTTGTGTTTCAAAGATCTCGTGAGCATTGAACTGTAGAAGCTGCAGGTGACGGATGATTAGGGAACCAATGAACAGCTCATCAGGACTCAGTGCGTCTGCTTTGAAGAAGGAGATTAATCAGTAGACTAATTCATTCTCTGCCAATTTCAAACTGACGTGGGCTTGCATAGTTTACTGTTAGTACCATCGTAAAACAGGAAGGTACTCAGACGTACATGAGCCGTGATACCTCGGTTAATGCAGTTTGTGCTATGGATTTGGCGACTGGGGTTCAATCTCTGGCAGGGACAGAAAATTCTTTTCTCTAGCCTCTGCATCCAGACCAGCTCTCAGGCCCACTCAGCCTCCAGTAAAATAGATTGTGGGAATAAAGCGTGGCACCCCAATCTAGTGTTCAGGTTAAGAAAGAGTATGCATCACTATTATTATTTAGTGTTCTGTCTGACGACAGGTCCATATGAACAGGATCCTTCCATCCTTTTCTCGGACTGGGACCTGTTCATATACGTTCTTGGCAGATGATCCAGAAGTGGTTTGCCATTGCCTTCTTCTGTGTGTGAATGGAGTAATTGTTGGGATGCCACGGAGGAAAACTCCGTGCTGCCTAGACCACGGCCTTGCCCAACACAAGTTATAAATTCGGGCACCGCCGGGAATCGAACCCGAGACCCCCAGGATTACAAGGCCAGCTTTCTAACCGCTAGACCACCGCAATATAAATTGCATCTAACTGTTTCATTAAGATCATTTTCCTTCATCTGATATGGAGGTTAAAGTTTATATGACGTAATGTTTTGGAAATAATGTTGGCAGTATGGTTATGAGACAAAACACAAGTTTAGACTTTGATGAACCTTCGAGTTCGATAAACCATCTAGTTAGTTAGTTAGTCAGTTAGGATCTTACTGTTGTTTGTGTTTGTTTGGAAAAAGTGTGCCTCTTGTAGACAGCGTAACAGAAACAGGGCCATTAACGTCCTGTGCATGAAGTCTTTTGCTGGGCGTTCATCTGCGTGGGTCACCAGGTTGTACACGCTCGCATAGCCCCCTGTAATAACAAAATTGCACATAAATGATAGACGACAGGAATTAGATAAATGATGTGACCTTGAAGAAGTTTTAATTACCTGGGTGCATGTTTGGTTGTAGGAAGGACTCTTGCAAGGTATCCTTCATGCCCAGAAAGTGCTGAAGCCCGGATTGTGTTAACATACGAAGTGCAAGGTGGCACAGGATGCTCATACCAGAGCCCACCAACAGGTCCATGTAATGGCATTCGTAGCGGTGGTAAGAGCCCACGGCCTGGTCCCTGCAGTTCGTGCTGCAGAATGCTATCCCACTGCACTCTGAGCAGCCCACTGGTGCCAGTAATCTGCAATAGACGCTCACTCCTGAACCCTGTTCTCGGTTAGATTAACTCTTCAGTAACAACAGCCATCGAGAAAATCCCTGCTGAGGGAAATCGTTTCTGGTGCGGTGCGGGGGGAATGTTTACTGCCTGGTGGACTAGAGGGCTGCTATTGGTGGGAAGTGTGACACGTCAGAGTTTTACGCTACTACACAGACTGAAAACATCAAGCAGTTAAGAGTAGCGTGTAGTGAGCGCACCTCTAATGTGTTCTGTGGGAGTTGCGATAATATTCTAGATTAAATCGCTGTGCCTCTGTGAGGTAATCTTAAAGCTGTACCCATTAGAACACGTGAAAGATTGTCGTCTGTTGTTCGTTCAGTGGTTGTGGAACGAATGCTTTTAGGATGGGCCGTCACTCACCGCGAAATGTCGCGCATGCGCGTATATCGAATTCCTAGCAGGGATTTTCTCCTGGTCTGTGGACTGTGGGTGTTGCGATAATATTCTAGATTAAATCGCTGTGCCTCTGAGAGGTAATCTTAAAGCTGTACACATCAGAACACGTGAAAGCCTGTCGTCTGTTGTTCGTTCAGTGGTTGTGGAACGAATGCTTTTAGGATCGGTCGTCACTCGCGTATATCGAATTCGTAGCAGGGATTTTCTCCTGGTCTGTGGACTGTACCTTGTCTTCACCGCGTATAGATTCCGGCATCACGTAGGTAATCTGACGTCTGTACCGTGTATGGAAATCTGCACTGAAGGGTTATTCCATTTCTCGTCAACTGATGAGGTTATATCATTGTATATACAGTTATGTTGATGTTGAGAGGTGCGTGAGATCTGAGAAACATTCTGTCTCCAGCTTCAATGCTGAAGAAAAATTAGAGGCAATTTCTCAGACGTTCGTATCAACGTCCAAAGTCGCATGGCATGACAACCCAGAACACCAAAGTATCATTTGTTTGTAAGAGATAAATCATTGAAGGGTGACCGATGTCGGGACAGTCGGCAACTCTCGTTACCTGACGAAGCAGTGGTGACAGTGTGTTCCGAACATGTCAGGCAGGAGGCAGGCTGCGTAAGGTGCCTCTACCACAACCGTGTCCCCAGTCGCGATGCGTCCTGTCGCTACAGCATACCGTCCCTGCTCTGGACTCGAGGTCACGGTCACTAGGCGAGATGCTGAAGGCATGTCAGGGTTTCTCCCCCGACTAACTGTGGGTACAGTAGGTCCTGTGAGGAGATATGAGGCATGAGATGGGTTCACTCCCATTTTCAGTGATTAAGATACCAAGTTTATATCAGCAGCGTCGATGTTTTATGACAATCGTCTTAACCTTTGATAGGGGTTGCCTCCAGTTGTCGTGGCAACTGTTCCATCCCCAGTTGCGACGCCTCGTTCTGTAGCCTGACTGACGAAGAGATCGCCTCCAGAGGACCGATCTTGTCCTTGCTTTCTTCCAGCAGAGTCAGGGCGAGTTGTAGGGACACTCGTGCCTTTGGGACCTGCCCCAGTTCTCGGTAGCTTCGCCCCATTCGCCAGTACAGTTCGTACCTGTTAGGGACGTGGAATAGTCTTGTAACAGTCACTGGTTCATTGTACAGTGGCCTCGAATGGAAAGGTTGTCTGATAACCGAGTCGTCCAGCTTGAGGCAACTCACCTGCGATGCAGCGGGAATCCCTCTCGGATGGCGAGTTGAATGTCAGAAAGGCAGGCTTCGTGTTCCTCTAGTTGCAGCAGGGACTCGGATCTCACTGCCAGGCCGAGGGTAAGACTCAAGCCTTCGTCCACACTCGGATCTGCTCCTGTAAGATAATCCTTTCGGATTATTGCCGTATTTGCACACACCACACCGCGAAGGAGTTCGGGGGAGTCTGAAGGAATGACGTAAATTGAAAATACATCGAACCTTTAAAGCCCAGTGCTCTTACAATTTGTATTTATGGGTCGCGTATGAGATTATTTCCTTAAACAGCGTTAACCAGTTGATCTTTGTAATGGTGAAGTGTAGTGTTTTCTTTTCGGTACGGACTGAATTCTTAAATGCTATTTAGACGGACTTCGAAGGGTTAATTAATTATCAGAATAAACGGCGATTATTTCCTTAAACAGCGTTAAAAAGTTGATCTTTGTAATGGTGAAGTGCGGTGTTTTCTTCGCGGTACGGACTGGATTCTTAAATGCTATTTAGACGGACTTCGAAGGGTTAATTAATTATCAGAATAAACAGCGATTATTTCCTTAAACAGCGTTAAAAAGTTTATCTTTGTAACGGTGAAGTGCGGTGTTTTCTTCGCGGTACGGACTGGATTCTTAAATATTGGAGGAGCTTCGGAATTACCTGTGGGTGGCGCGCGTATGACGGCGTGGTTGCAGAGTAGCAGGGCTTGGCGGGGATCCCCCGCATCGAGGTACCTCTCCGCCTCGCGCCTTTTCTGAGCAGACAGTGGCGCACTCTTCTTACGATACAGCTCCTGCACGTTCTGCAACACGCCATGCACGCAGTCACCGAGCTCGTAGCAAGCCCTGAGCCGTTCCTCGTCGGTCCGGAGAAGCGCGAACTTCCCGTTAATCCACTCGGAGTCTACAGTATCGGTCACGTGGTCAGCGAAATCGAGGAAGAAGCCCTGATTGTTGGACTGCAGGGTAACGGAGTTGCAGAGCGCTGTGTACGTCGGGTCGTGTTGCTGCATCCTGTGTTTGCTCCGCCTAGACAGTACATGGATGTTGTCAGTCAGCTTCACGCTTCGCTCGCCTTATCCCGAGAACTGATCGACTCCTGGGTGAGATTTGAGGGGAGAGTTTTTCGACAGCGAGTATGAATATGACAGTTTCCTGGGAAAAGTTTATTTATCGCCCTGATGAAGGAGGCAAACGATCAGTTTATACTAGGTTACACTGCGCAGTTCCCAGAACACAGTCATCATCGATTCTTGGCTTATTTTAGGATATTATTTAAATTATAGAAGGTACGGGCATGTTGTATCGAAAGAATGTGTGAGTGATGAATTGGGAAGGATTCAGAAGGAATCGGTCATGTGATGTTTCGAGGTTTTATTCCAGAATTTTAGTTCAGGTAACTGACTAAACCCGCGAGGAATGTCAAGGTTATATTCGAACATGGAACGTACCAAACAGAAAGCATAATTTTGCAAGGAACCAGAGGTTAATGCCTCCAACATCAGATCCATGATGCAGTAAGCACCTCTGAAACGTCGATAAATTTCTAGCAGACATCACATAAGAAGCCATCTTCATGTCTGTCGCCGTGAGAACTTGAACTCTACGAAGGAAGCAGGTATTTTTTTAACTCTGGACCATTTCATTTCGATATGGACCAAGGAAACATTTCTACCCCTGACAGGAATCGAACCTCGGTCACTGTTGTGGCGACAGAGTCTTTGGAAAGCGCAAATCGAATGAGGTACTTACCTTTCTGAGGTCTCAGAAGCGCGTTTGCGTTGAAGTTAGAAGAATGTCGCGCGACCAGGAACTACGTCGTGTCTGTCCTTTCACCAACAGCGCCCAGCGCCTATCTTATCCGGTGTCGGATAAAACCCCTGGTTTGCCGACATGCTACGTGATCTTGTCTACACCTTAAAAGACAAAGAATAAAGTCGAGTCTTATTTTAGTTGTTTGGTGGTACCAAAAGTTTTGAGATGTACGTGCTGCCTCCATCATCGTCCATCACGGACGTGAGAACCTTATATCATACCTGTTAAGATACGTCGTTAAACAGCGCCATTCGTAAGCCCCAACTAGCTGGCTAACAACGTTTTACAAAATAAATGCCTCGTACTTCTCACAAATCTTCTATGTACGCATGCGTCGAACAGTTGTGAATTTTGAAAAAATATAGGCTAGAAAATGTTGACAATATTCATACACCTTTTCCTATTCTGAGCTAGATTAATATAAATTAATATTATCCTTCAGTCTTCGCCTGGGTAAAATTAATCTTAACGTTCTTAAACGGTAGACGGGAAGAAGATTTATTCGCCAAATGTAATCTGCCCTTTGTTTTATTGGGACAGTAGAGAGTGGGGGGGTGCGCAGAATTGCTGCGCAGACAGGCAAGATGAACCACTCGGCCATGAGCGCGTCATGGCAGGCAACTGTTTAGCTCAGCATTGCTCTATATTTAGTTCCTGCGTGGTCCGCTCTTAAAATAGAGCGCCATAGGAGAGGAGGTTATGTTTATAAAAGGACGCTATTTCAGGTGCTTAGATTATTCGTGAAAATGGAATTTTTTTTATAAAGAATTAAAGATACTATAAAACAAGCGAAGGTAGTCGTAGACGGTCTCACCTCTTCCACAGAATAAACTAATTAGCTAAAGTATTACGATAAACTTACATCGTCGCTCTGTGCTGGGGTTAAAACCGTGTACTTGCAAAACCAACCAACAGCTGATCTTGTATAAAAACCAATATTTAGTGTTTTTAAGAAACCTTTATTGCAAACACAATAATAATATTAATAATAATAATAATAATAATGTAACAACTTGTGTGTGCATGGAATGTGTGGGGCAAGAAACCTTAGTCCACGTGTTCGGCCTTAGGCTCTCATCCGATCATCCAAGGAGAGATTTTGCTATGAACGGGGCTATTACTTCACTTTAAGGCTTTGCCCGGGATGTTCTTTTGTTAAATCTTATGTGGTACCGCCTGATTCGACTTCTAATGGTTAAGTGAAGTGTTTTCTTCGCGGTACGGTCTGGATTCGTAAATATTATGAAGACGAGCTTCGGCTTCAAAGGGTTAACCAGCTGATTTTCGTAATGGTGAGGTGTAGTGTTTTCTTCGCGGTACGGACTGAATTCATAAATAATATTCAGACGATCTTCGGCTTCAAAGGGTTAATTACATAAACTGAACAGTAAGATAAAAGATTTCTCTACAAATCCTTAACGCTTTGAACAAAGTTCGTCTAAACAATATTTAAAAAAAAAATTCGGTCCGTACCTCAGAGAGAATCCTTTAAGCCCATAAATACAGAGTTGTTAAACTTTAAGCTGCTGTAGCTCAGTATAGTGACATCGCTGGCTATACGACCGAGATTCGATTCTAGGCAGGGACAGATTTTTTTTCCCCTTAAGCTGTAATATCTAATTCCTTTGCCTGCTTTGCTTTGAAGGGTTAATAGCCCAGGAGAGAGATGAGTCTTTCCGGAATAGAATTTCTGTACTCTTAACACTGAATGTTACGTTTCTTAGGCTACTGACAACCCCGCGTGACGTTAGAAGATTCCCGTAGTCATCCCGACGACGGAGAGAGGGGAAAGGCGAGTTCTAACGACTGAATAGAATACTTGAACCTTATTGGCCGAGCTTTTTTATGGTGTTTATCGTAACTTTGCCGGGAACAGTCTCTTAGTACGGGTGTACGAAGATCTATTAACACATCACGCATCAGATAGACGGCGTCGTGGTTGGTAATCCTGCTTCCTACATTCGGTAGGTCCCGGGTTAGACTTTCGGCCCGGAAGCCGGATATCCTAGCCGAGGTATTCTGCGATGCCCTGATCTTCGTCTAGGCCACTTCTGGAACATTTTAAAACGCGAAAGGACTGTTTTATTCTACATCGTTTCCAGTTAAGCGTTCACAGCGAACTTAAACAACCAGTGCAGATGATATAGAGTTGTTAAATAATCTTTAAATGAACAAATCTGTTCACAGTACTGTCTGACCGGAAAAATAGACTCGACCTTGAAGCAGTGACGTCATGTTGAATGTCGTCCTAAAAACATCGTCCCTCACTGAAAATATTCTCACTGTTGATACGTGATTATTGGGTATGTTACAAGTGACCTGACTTAAAAAGTAAATTATCTATAAATTGTGAATTACTACAAGCACAAGACCGAAAAGAAACACTAAGCTAGAAAGCCAAGGGAGAACTGAAAGTTAGCCGATGTTTCTCCACCGCGTATTAGAACGGCTGTGCGCATGCGCGGATGGGTATTTCTGTTTGAAGGTCGAGTTAGTCTTCCGCTCAGAGAGCAGTAATACGTATATTTATTTACCACTGGTCAGGGAACACGAAGGGACTTCCGGTAGGTTTCAATACCACCTTCAAACTGTCTGCTTAGGCTCAAACACGTGGACTGCCTCAAACCTGCTGTGTGACTGGGCATAGCAACGCGGTCACATGAGCAAATATACATAGTTACTCGTATATATATCACCAGTCCCAATACTGATCACTTAAATGGACGGAATATTTTTTAAACCGAAACTTCAGTCTCGTATTTATTGCAAATCCCACTGAAACTTTAAATGTCACAAGAATTACCACGTCTTTGACTGTAAGTGGTTTACACAATAGTTTTTGATGGATTTTGAGACTCGCCGTCGGAGATATGATACATATACACGTTTCGGCAGCTGGTTTTGCTCCTGTCTTCAGATGAGAATTTTCTTACACTGACGAGTGGCATCGACCGAGTTAGAACGTGGGAACCTCCGACTGCCACTAACCTTGAAAATAAAAAACAACGAAAATGTCTCCAGGAGTCGCTTCAAAAACAGGGGAACTCATGAAATATCGTCTGTGCGTTGTTTACTAAAAAAATATCTCACGTAATTACGAGGGAACTGTGACGTAATCAGGTCCAGTCGTCGTCCGTGACTGCGCGATTTCTTTGTCTCACGCACGTTTTGTCTTCATGAAGTCGTCCAATTGAGGAACATCGTATGTCCAAGGCGTTCCTTCGGAAAGTGTGGCATTTCAAGATTCCCCTAGCCTCACCGTGTCTTCAGTTACTAGAAGGAACTCTCCTGACGCCTCGAGACTGGCGTCGTCTCAGCCTGATTGTCCTCGAACACTGGCGACGGCGCCAAACCCGGATTGTCGTAAGCCCCGTACTCCAACGTCGGATCTTCCTTAGGGTAACGAGGGCGCGAACTCAGAGGGGTGGACGTCGTGGCTGGCGTTACTGGGGGCGGCGCGGTATTGGTGCTTGGGGGCGGCACAACCACAGACATGTCCAGCTTCAGCGCATCCGCCTTACCGTTCTTGGTCCCATTTGACTGTAAAACACAACAAAATATAATTTTCCTCATCACTTCGCTTACATCTCGCCATTTTGAATGAAGAATTTAGAGGGGAAAAGTGTAGTAAGTCCTCCTCGGAAATTGTTATATTTAATATGCTGCTGAGTACAAATGATATGAGGAGAAATCTGGTAGTAGGTTATCGGTCTTGGTAGTGGAACGTTTAGATATTTTACCTGCAAATGGAGCGAAGGCCGCGTGTTCCGTCTCTTTCTGTGCCACAAGAACAGAACCAGCGAGGAAGCCAATGTCAGGAGGACCAACATCGACACGACGAACGTTAGAATCACCATAACCTTCAAGTGTGTCATTTCACCTGCAAACATGTGTTTCGTGTGACTAATCGGCCCCAAACTTACTGTTACACACTGAATATTACTTTAGGAAATTCTTTGCAAAGTCGATCGAAAACTCAGCTTGTCAAACAATAGCCCACTTTCCTTATGGAGCCCGAAGGTTCATCACAGTGCTTACAAAAGCCTGCCACCGGACCCTTTCCTGAGCCAGCTGCATCCAGTTTGCTTATCATTATGGAAATTTCTCCATGATCCATCTTCCTCCCTCTTAGGTCCAAATATCTTAAACACCCTGTTCTCAAAAACCCTCAATCTGTGTTCATCCCTTAAAGTTAAAGACCGAGTTTGGCACCCATACAGCACAACTGGAAAAATTACACATTCGTGTATTTTAAATTTTAGATTTTTTGATGAGATGAGAGGACAAATGATTTTAAACTGAATGATAGCAAACATTTCTTGAAACTAATCTACTGTTGTCACGTCTTTGAATGGGTCTTCGTCGACGTAATTAATCAAAATTGAGTTTGCTGGAAACCATATTGCATCGTAACCCTTTAAAAACTTTAACTTTGTATTTTACCCACCGAGTATGGGATACTTTTGGGGTTTCGTTTGATTCTCGTAATAAACACAATCGACAAATTTTTGTTTGTAATGGACATGTCGCGTGTTTTGTTTGAGGTATGAAGTGTATTTTAGGCATTGATTAAGACGAACGTGTGGCTTGGAAGTCTGAAATCAACGTGGTGTTGCATTTTTGTTTCCAGTTTACGTTCTGGGTTAGGTTAGGTTGGGTTAGGTTAGGTTAGGGTGGGTTATGTTAGGTTAGGTTAGGTTAGGGTGGGTTATGTTAGGTTAGGTTAGGTTAGGGTGGGTTATGTTAGGTTAGGTTAGGTTAGGGTGGGTTATGTTAGGTTAGGTGAGGTTAGGCTAGTGACGATCATGCACAGAAAATTATACTCAATGGCGTCATAATCTTGGCGATTTTAAGCCACATTGTTACTGATTATCCAAAAATAGAAAGATATCACGAATATCCCAGATTCAACAATCACAAAAATTTTTTTTTCAACAATGGCATTCCAAATTTAATTTAAATTCTCACTTCAATGCATACCCCATTACCAATTTTTGAGTTCAAATGTAGAATTAGCAACCTTTACCGCCCGAGCTGGGGCCTGCTACGTCACACACAGGTGGGGTTAGGAATCAACAAATTGCGAAGCTCCTGTACTTGTACGGTGCGTGCGTGTACTCACTTCTGAGGTCCTCCCCTCCAACTTGGTCCTCCCTCATCACATATCGATGGTCGTATATATATACTGAAACAAATGAGAAAGATGATTTAAGCATAATACGAAGGAGAGGGGGAAATGGAATGGAAGATGTTCATGAATGGTATGTGTGTGTATATAATAATTTGGTAGAAGACGGTCGTGGCCTATTTGCAGGTGCTAAGGGAAATCCGAGGTGTCTCGTTGTAACAAGGCGCGTCCCTGCTCGATGTTTTTGTCAAATAACACACTCCGTAAGCTAACAGTCGCTCAGCTCGTCAATAAATTACCAGGAGGTTTATTGCTGTGTCCAGAAGGTCTGCCACCGATCCTATCATGAGTCAGATAGCGAATTCAGTTTATTTTCTCATGCCTTATTGAACACAATTTTAATATTATCCTGTCATCTACGTAAACGTCTTCAGCCTTCGATTACGCTGAGGAAAAGGATAACTTATTTTCCATCTTTTACGAATTAGGCCTTTTGGCGTTTTCTAATTTGGATTTGCGTAACGTAACCTTAAAAAATAATAAGATAATAAAATATATCACATAAATACATGATTCTAAAATGGCATGCGAGATGCGAAAAATTTAAACAGACGCACGGTAGTACATGCGTCTGACAAATTCAAGGAAACGCACTCAAGGACTACCTCAGGGTATCGTGCATTGATGGGCTTTTGAGAATACGGTAATGAACCTCACAAGCGAAGAATTTCATGACCGGCTGAGCAACTATACACTTTTTATAGAAAATCCTTCACCATGGACTTTGTCAATATCTAAAGTCTGCGAGCTGTGTGGTTAACCCTTTAAAGTAAAATGGTAACTATACGTACCACTACTTTAAACATTATGTATCTTTCTCACAGATTATATTTATAGGTTTCTTATGTTTCTGAGATAAAAACCAATTATTTCCATAATTATCATCAACTAAACGATTTTATAAATGGAATTTATTATATTTAATCGTCGTGAAGGCCTTAGATCATACGAGATGTAATGTGTTTTCTTTGAGGGACGGACTGGATTCTTTAATATCACTGCGTGTTCTCTGAAGGAACTGCACTAGACGGATTTGGATGAAATTTGGCGTGTATTGCTGTGCGGAAGGCAACCTCATGTGAACATCTGTACTTCTCAGACAGGGCTCAAACTCACGTCTGTACACACTGGGATTTTTATTATTCGCTGTAATTCACACGCTCGTTTTTGGTTCAAAACTTCATAAATCACTCAAAGGGAAATCTAAATAATTAATGTTCCGAAATTAATTGGAATAAAGAGAGATAAGGCAGTTAATTTTGCAAAATGGAACTAATCATAGCATTGTTAGGTTGTTATATCAAAGGGATTATGAAGGTTATGTTTGAAACTAAAACCTATAAATATCTACAAAATTTTATAAAATTAGGCTACTTGAAAGACGAAAATTTAGTTGTAAGAACAATAATAATTCAATTCTGAATTATAATGTGCTGGAGACAAATACGCAAAACATTAATACACTAAGGGCTACCAACACCAACATTATTAAGTGTAACCAAATATGGAAGCCCTGAGGTAAGGAAAGAATTCTGCCCTCTAGTGGAACAAATTAAACTATAAGTTCCAATCTTGTCCGTCTTTAAGTAATTCGCTTGGAGCTATTCAGTCGTGCGCCGGACCTCCACTCATTCATGCGTAAGTACCACACTTTCCTACCTTACAGTCTACTGGGGTTAGTCAGTATAAATCGATAATTCCAGTTCATAAATAGCAACATGTGAAATGATATCCGTGGGGTTTATATTTCATAAATGTAGCGTAGAAATTAAGCAATTTCAATTTTGAAAACTCAGCACCTCGGTTCTCACGTATTCCTTACAATATTTTCCCTGCAGTTACTTCTACGCGCGGTCGACATTTTGCAAGCACCGATCTAACTCGATACGTGGAACGTACGTCTCTATTAGCCTTTTATTTCCTTAAACAACGTTAACCACGTGATCTTTGTAATGGTGAAGTGTGGTGTTTTCTTCGCGGTACGGACTGAATTCTTAAATGTTATTTAGACGACCTTCGGCTTCGAAGGGTTAATAAAGTTATCAGAATGCTCCATTGACCAACCATGTGGAGATCATAAGTGGAGATTTATTTGTGGTTCGATCCAAATGAGCCCCTGCAGATTTAACAAGTGATAACAAGGTTTATTAACTTTCAACCCTGCCTGTCCATCTCAACGGCACTGGTAATCTTTCTCAGAATAACCAAATTTGTTCATCTTTCGTCGTTTCTACTGATAAACTCGTGTGCCTACATGTCTCGTACAGAAAGGCTGATTGCTTCGGGATCACGAGAGACAAGATGACTTCTACGTGTGGTCTACGCAGTCAAGGACATTTACAGTCTGAAATTCATGCGATGTGAACTGTTGCAGAAATCCTACAGTGTACTGTACACGTAGTGGAACAGTGGAGTTTTGTTTGTGTAGTAAACACAGAGATATCGCTACTATCTGTACACGTCATTTTCAGTCTGGATTTGAGTTACGTTCTGATTGGGTAACAAAGCTGGGTTACCTCAGCCGTGTCGCACGGCGAGTAGGCAAACATGATAACAGTAGAATAGGGCAGCGTGTTCAGAACCAGTTAACGGCGTCCGCTTTGAACAAATACACGAATTACGTTAACGAATAATGGGAAAGTCGTGTTTCTATGATACGCGTGGTTTTACTCAAAATTGGCTCGTGGATTCCGATTAAATTTTGGAATTGAGAATTCCGTACTAAAAGTTGTCTGATTTATATTTGTTGGTGAGTGCGGTTTAATAGATGAACAAATGATACAAAGTATATATTAAATCTTGTCCGTCTAATCACAATAAATTCTTATTAAATATTAAAATATTACAATAATTAACATTTAAAATATTTAAAATATTAAATGATGTTCTTTATCGAAATATTCGATTTACATTAGACCATCATTTTTCATGTTTCACGACATGTTTCAGTTCCGAAAAGAACCATCCTCAGTTGTATGTAATTATATAAAGCTTCAAAACGATAAATAATTTATAAGAATTTATTGTGATTAGACGGACAAGATTTAATATATACTTATTATATCACAATATGACGAAACTTTACCATCTTATAAATGATACAAACATGGCCGAATCGTAGTGAAACTCCCCCGATATCATATTTCATGAAAATCCGTTCTAACCATACGAGAGAAAAATTTAAATACGTACAGACGGACGGTCTGTTGGCCATTTTATATACAGTATGGACACATTAAGATGAATCCAAAATAAATATTGTGGGAAATTATGTACTACACTCGGGTTCCGTAAAATGCGAGAAATCTCGTGACTAGATCAGCGAGATTACATTCTCAGGAAGGGCTAGCTACTGACAGATCGATATAACTCTCGATCGACATAGAACACAAATTCGATTTTATCGATTTATCGATTTTCTCGAAAACAACTCAGATTATAAAATGACGTAAAATACAGATCTCAAAATAACTTCCACGTTTAAATATTTTTCGATGTGTTGAATATTTAACAAAATTACAAGCGTCATGTTTCGGCTGTGTTCAGTAAGTGTGTCTGCACATCAAAGATTGTGTCTACAGTCAATGTTATTGTCGTGAGGGGCGTGTAAAGTGTTAGGTGGGGCCACCACAGGGGGTTCTGACAAGCATTGTGGAGCGAGTCCTTGTATCTTGTACTGCTGAAGCATGGTAAACCACACTAAAAGGTCGCCAACGCTGAAGAACTGTAATTTATTCCATGATTCTAGGTAACATGTAATTCTGCGTAGTACAGCTGCACCAAAAACGTAATAAACCACCATTGTTACTTGTTGAACACGCATCGCTTCCTTCTGCCAGGAAACACACATTTTTCTACAATCTGATCAGAATCTGCCCCTAAAATTTCTTCAGCTCACAATGTATCGTAAAATGACCAGTTACTGTCAAATTTTTAATTGTCTAAATTATATGGAATTATTATTATTATTTAGTGTTCTGTCTGACGACAGGTCCATATGAACAGGATCCTTCCATCCTTTTCTCGGACTGGGACCTGTTCATATACGTTCTTGGCAGATGATCCAGAAGTGGTTTGCCATTGCCTTCTTCTGTGTGTGAATGGAGTAATTGTTGGGATGCCACGGAGGAAAGCTCCGTGTTGCCTAGACCACGGCCTTGCCCAACACAAGTTATAAATTCGGGCACCGCCGGTAATCGAACCCGAGACCCCAGGATTACAAGGCCAGCGTGGCGGACATAATGGAATAATGAAAATTATTGATGTAAATGGTAACTTATCGCGATCATTACAAAAACATTTAGAAGACATCATATTGGAACTACATTACGACCGCTCTAGGATCAGCGAACATGTAGAAGATTCTAACGTAGGAGTTTATTAATTTAAAATGCATTTTCCAGAAGCTGCTATGTGATTAATATCATGATTGAGGTTATGGACAGACGCATTTTAACACGCTGTAAAAATAAAAACAGTTCAATGTGTCTGAAGATACAGGTTCCTCAAACAAAACGTTCTCTCTTTTTTTATAAAAGAAAAAAAATGTTAAAAAAAACTCTGCACGTGACATTTGTAGCGATTGTCTTAATGTGATGATAACTTCTGAAAGTGGAAAACTCTATTTGGCTTGAAAGTCCACGGTGGAATAAATGACAGTTTATATTGCCCTTGGAAACATTAATAAAAAATAAAGCGTTCAGATGTCGTCTGAAATGAAGTGTTACAATGAAGAAGACAGAGAACGTTTTAGCCGACCTCTGTTGTCGCTTTATCAAACCACCTTTGCGGAACATCGGATCGCATTAGTGCAAGAATGACCTAAGGACATTTTCGTTTGTTGCTGAACAGTTAAATCGGATCACGGTGCAATAACTACCTTGAATAACGCCTTTGGGGTGTCAGTGTACTCCTCAGAGTGAACCTTTTAATATTGTTTCGTGTTACACTACCAAGTTTTAGAAATGTTACGAATATGGATAATGAATTAGAGTTCGAAAATGTTTCGCGCATGCGCAGTGGGGAACAGTGAGTGGATGGCTCGTGTGTAGGATCTGAGGTTTTCACAGCAGTGAGTCTCAAGATGGCCGTCTTCTGGTTTGTTGCGCCGTGTAGTCTCGTAGAAGTTTACCGACGTTTCAGAGGTCATTGCTTCCTCCAGCATCAGGGGCA